TTAACTATTTGATTTGAAATCGAAATATATTCTTCAGAAGTTTGATTAACTAATGTTTGAATGCAATCTGTTGATTCCGAATAATTACTCAGTTGATATTCTTCAATTAAGGATTCATTATTGAGTATAATTAGGTTCTGATTTGGATTCTGTTGATCTTGATGTGAACTCGATTCTGCTATTAATTTACCCTTAACATTTTTCACTATCTTTGATTCAAGCCCTTGGTAATGATAACAATTATTATTAACTAATAATTTAAAATTTAATAGAAAAATTAAAATTCATACCATTGGTATAACACTGGGCAGCTATAAAAAATTCCTTTGTAAATAGATTTGTTTTTCTAATATCTCTTAATTCATCATGAATTTTCCACTGATCAGAAAAGGTGACACCCGTTTTAAGGAATTTGGTAATTTTTGACAATATTTTTTATAATCGTCTTCTGATAATGTAACAGATGGAATCTCGTCTTTACGAATACGACCCATTATAGTGAGGTTTTTTTAGATTCGTGGTAAATCTTATATTGAGATATCTCTTTCTTTTAAATAAATTCAAACGAACAGACTTGTTTCATAATCTGGATCTAATTGGTGTATTTAAATAAAAAATTTCTGAAAATTTTTTTATTACTTTTTTTAAAGCATCCAACAATACGTATGATCATCAAGCATTCCACAACAATTAAACAATTACTACAAACAAAAACGCGAAAAAATTTCATTCTGTTGACACTTCAAAATTGGTATTTAAACTATTGCAAACAATTGCTATAGATTAAAGTTCCAGAATTCTGCGATGCTTAAATCTGCTCGATCTAAAAATATTTTTTGCATTGTATTTGGTTTTTAAAAAAATAATTAAATTCATATTTAGATTACTGAGACAATACAAAAAATATTCTTAGAGCGAGCAGATTTATACATCATAGAATTCCAGATACTCTAATTCTTATTGTTATCTACAGTAATAGTTTAAATACCAAAGTGTCAAAAAAGACACTATAATCATTATTGTTTATGATGTTTGAGCTAATTGTTATATTATTGTCAATAATGCGTGCTAGTGTGTGTGGTACCATTGTGGATGATTGTCTAATTTTGTATTTTTGATGTCATACCAATTGTTAGATGTTTTAAAAACTTCACGCGATTCTAAACAAATAGATTATCACAAATACGTAAAATATTTTATTTACTTATTTACTTCATTCAATTATCATTAAATTAGAAAAAATCCAGAGCGATCATTAAAAAAAATATTGTAGTATCAAAAAATAAAATTTTTTGAGGTAGCACCTCAGAATTTTTATTTCTATGAATCTGTATAATTAATATAAGAAAAATTTTAAATTTTAAATAACGATAGGCAGTTATTGAGGGATCTGCATTACTTCACCGACAGCTCATTTAGCCAACATCACACCAAGTGTCAATTTACTAAAAATATATACATACATGATACTTTCATTAGTTCGTTGCTTCCTTTTGCTGGGTTTCCATTTGGAAATGATCCATTGGATATAGCGATAGTATTAGATAACCATAATCCCTTGTTTTAGGGATAACCAGATTTAGAAATCAATTATAATTAGCGTTAGTATACGGATTTCTATCTTATTTGACAAATTTGCCCTTGTTTTAGGGATGTTAA